AGGCCTTGAAGACGACGAGCTAGTCGAAACGTCGGCAATAAACGCTTCACTATAAAAAACCTGTTTGGCACAGAAAAACTTTCAATTATCTGGACATGCCAAGGTTTCAAGAAAGGCGAACTTGGACATTAGATATAATGTTGTGCAAGATATAAACTTTTCGACATTAAGAAATTTGGAATTGTTTCGACATAAGCTAAAAACTAAGAAGGTGGGCCAATTTTCAAAGCTTCTTAGTTTGTGATCGAATAGCTTCCAAATTTCGCCATAATGATATTTATATGCTCACAAGTAATAAACAATAGCAAGAAGAAATTTTTCCGCGGAAAAATTCAGGTCCGAAAGGGTTGAAGAGGCTTGCCTCAAGCAGTCTTACCAAATTGAAGGAAGTTGGTGGCTGGCTTAGCATTCAATTACAGGCCGGATAACTCACTAATTTGGCGACTACTCCCTACACATTTGAAAGAAAAGGCGCTTGATGAAAACACACAATTTTCATAAAATTATCACTCATTGAGTACCGCCTCGCGAGGATTTGAGTGACACGGCCCGTGAATCACCTTAAAGGAAGTGGTCACGGAAATTCCTATGGAAAGTGAATAGTGGATTGGGTAGGGTCCTACCCAATGGGACGACAGGTGACGCTTCAGGGCAGTGGCGCCTTATCAACGGCGTGATAAGGCGCCGAAACCCACTTCCGGTTCGGCGTTGCACCTCCTTATCAGACGTGGAAGGGGATGCAGTAGCAGCGTGCTAGATATGATACGGTTATCGTTATCGTTCGATTTTCATGCTGGAGTGCACCTCATCCAAGCAGCCGTATCATATCTCATAGGGTTAAGCTCGTCGTAACACTACTCCGACCATATCGGCTGATAACGCGGAATTCAGCGATCCACCGGAAGCCAGCGTGATCGCTTCCTTCAACGTGATCGCTATCGCAACTCACGTTAAGGTGATTCATAGGCCGTGCCACCTCCCTGCTAGGCTTTGCAGCGTAGCTTGAACAGAAAGCCTTTCTGTTATTGCGCTATTCTATCGTCCATGTTAAACAGTAACTCCGGATGAAATTCAATTCAGTACTAGAACTTCAAAAAAGTAAAGCTTCTGTATCATTGAGCCATGTTGTTTACTGCAACGTTACAGTCACACTTCTTTCCATCCACTCATTTAAGAAAACGAAATGATGACCGACATAGAGAGCGAAATCACGTAGATTCCCTTACCATTCACGTCCCTCAGCTTTCTCCTGAGCTTGCTGTGGTGAATACTCTGCAAGAGGCATTTGCCCCGTCCATTTTTCAAATTCTTCGAAGGTTTCCACGTTGTCGGTTGGATATGTCCGGAATACCTTAACAATTACTGATTAGCATCAAATTACAAATATTAGCTATTATTACACATTTATACGCACTTCTTCATAAATGAGCATATTTGACCGTGCAGTGCTCTGCCAAACGTCAACAAAAAAGGACTCCGCCACAGGATCGTCCAAGCAGACATCGTATTTGAAATGAGAGGGACTTCGTGAATCCGGTAACAAACCCAAGTGCTCCTAAATGAAAAGAACACTGTTCTCTCCTCATATATCAACAACTCTGACAAAGAATGCTCAATTGGTCAGTCCGGCCATTTGTAATGAGATGTAGTCCGCTGGACGCGTCTTGCGACGCTGAGCTCAAATCCGTTTTCGTTATCTGCGGAACGATTCTCTGAAAGAAGTTACGAGGGAATCTTCTCACTGTGGTTTTCTCACTGTGGCGCCCTCTACATTCTCCTATCCTCCATGCTTCGCATCAGGTGAGCCAGAGAGCGACTACATTGTTTGGCTGGTGGTCCAGTGAATAGCACTCTAGATTCATGAGAGCGAGTTCACAAGTGCGAATCATTGGAAACGCTGAAGCCCAGAAAGTGTTTACATTTGGTTATTTTGATGATTTGTGTCCCACTTGACATATGGAAAAGGTAAATTCTAGATTTCCTTCTAGCATATGTGATAAGCCCTCACAATGATTGAAAACAAGAAAGTTTTTGGCAGTGTGCACAGCGAATAATGGAAGGCTCTGGGGGATTAGAGGAGCGCCATAGTGAGAAAGCCACAGAGCGAAGAATCTTTCCTAACCCCTTCCGTAGAATCGTTCCGCAGATATCGAAAACGTATTTGAGCTAAACGACGCAAGACGCTTGCATCGAACTTTGCCTCATTACAAATGGACGGACAATTGACCATTCCTTATGAGGAAAAAAGATATAAATAAGCCGGAAAGAAAGGCAGGCGAACCGAGTTCACGATTTGAAAGATTCGGCCCCAACAGAATGTTACGGAAAGGCCAACCGAAAAAAAAATGACTCAAATAATTCGTTGAAAGGTTCAGCTTTAACTATTAGGTCGGTCCATAATTTTTGAGAACCTTTGGTGTTTTTCGACTTAATTACTTATCTTATTTCTCTGATGTATTTATTCAGCACAGTATACATCACCATTATTACCAACATATAACCAATGCGAGGGTGGGTATTCAGTGTCCCTCTTGTAGAATTTCATAGAGTTCTGATCGAAGAAATATTGGATGTCGATTTTGACTTTATGGTGATTCAAGTGAGATTTCTTCTCCAGAAGGTGATTGAGAGAGGAGAGCGGATAGTCGTTCGTTGACGCAGGATTAGTGCTACAAGGCGGAGCTAAAAGAACTGACCGCCCGAGAGTCTCCAATTTTTTAGGAATTTTCTTAGCAAGGCGGGCTCGAACGACCTCAGAAAAAATAGATTTTGTCTTCCTTTGCTTTCAAGTTGAAGGCGTTGCCATCAAGCTGTCAACGATTCTTCCCATCACTGACACTGGTATTAGTTGATGCCGGTCTTCAGCGCAAAGGCCCTCCCGTATTGCGCCAACGACTCAGGAAGTTCGAATTCAGAGGGAGTTGGGTTTTACTGTCAGAACTCCCGAATCGTTTGAGCAAATCTACTGCGGCTCGTGGATTTGTTAGCACATTGCACCCAGTCCACATCACCAATGAGTATTATAGATGGTCATCCGAAGGAACTATGGGAAACCAACAGGAACTTGATGATGTCAGATTGGGTTGAGAACTGATTCGGGACTACAATTTTCCTTCGATCAGAACTCTATGAAAGTCCACAAGAGAGGCACTGAATACCCACCCTCGCATTGGCGATATGTTGTTAATAATAATGATGTATACTATGCTGGATAAGTAGATCAGAGAAATAAGATAAGTAATAAATCGAAAAACACCAAAGGTTCTCAAAAATTGTGGACCGACCTAATAGTAAAGACCCATTTTCACCGAACTCTCCCCTTGTAATCAAGCCAAATCCTTGATTTTTTTTTTCGCTGAAAATTCTAAATGAGAGCTGTTCTGCATAGTGATCACGATGATGCACGGATTAATATTCGCATGAGCAAGAGCAGCAAATAAAGAGTGGTTGGACATCAAATTCCCACGTCTTCTCTTATCACTGTCATAAACGCAAGTTAAGAGGTTTTTGGGTAAGATCCAAAAGAAAATATTGAAATACAACGAATACTGTCTTTATTCACCTGCATGCATTGAACCCGAAGAGATTTCGCAAACTTTCCTGCTGCGTACGGTCTTTCCCGTTCATTATTGATGCTCAGTTTCGGGTGTCCCGAGAACACAACAGCACACCTCGAATTAGCGATTCAACCACCTTTATGAAAATAACATTATTGAGCATAAGACCAACAGAATGAGGGAAATGTTACCTGTGATCTATCGTTGATATTAGCAGACCCGATTATAACATGTTCGTCGTCGACTATAAGCAGCTTGCAATGGACGTATATCAGCTCAGAAACCTAAAAGAACTATTAATTTCTCGATAGACATGGTCACCCTTGTTTATTATGACCACTAACCAGTTTCCCACACAGGATGTCATTTCCTCGTAGAGAACACACAGAGATGTAATCGTGTGGATTGGGAACAACCTAAAAAAAGGATTTCCACATCACTTTGATAATATTCAGAGTATGGCGTCTTCAGATCTCTCCTTAAAAAAAGTTCAAAACAGGATTGTGCGTCCGACACACAGCGGTAATCGCAAATACTGATTCTTCGAGAAAACGATGCATTTGAAGCTGTTTAACAGCTTTTTAACAAATGGACGCCCGTATTACCTGGTTTTTGTGATACACAATGTGTTTGGGGCTTTCAGTTCCGACCTCAGCTTTTTCAAAACAGAGGCTCAATCCCAGAAAAACTTCCAACTTACCGCTTTCAAACGCTCGAATAAGGAATTAGGGCCACGACTGAGTGAAAGATAGGTCCAATGTAGAACGGCTTGTAAAGAGGAGCCTCCAGGTGCCCCAACATTCCCTTCGAAACCAGGCAGAAGCGGAATCATTATGTAAACCCGAAATGGTTGTTTTTCCCTGAAAGAACAAAATAAAGAGCTACTGCTCTGGTGCCGAAAAATTAACTTAGGCGTACTTATATGCTCTGATCACACGATTGCAGATAACTTTACAGATCTCATTAAGCACATCGTTCGAATCGATCATTGAGACAAAGAACTGGTTTTCAATATAGATGAAATGCTGCAATGAAAGGGTTTCAAAGTTGGAAAACCAAATAAGTTCAGAAATACAACAAAGGAAAGAAAATTCCAAATACTACCTTTGAATTAGCGAATGAGGGGAGGGAGAGTAGGCCGATCTATTGAGTCATTCAGTCTGCATTTTATCAAAACTGACAATTTGGAAAGAGAGACGCAGACCTGAAGCGTCGAAGGGGGTATTGGATAGTGCATTAATGATAAGCTTTCCTGCCTGATATTTCAATAGTGTAACCATTCAAAAATTCCAAAACAATAGTGTTGACTCTTGATCTGATTAAACGCGTACTTCAATCACATTATTCATATTTTGTTCTCACTACGAAAAATGATAAAAGTAAACCCCACTATTTTAGTGCTTCCAACACTTTTTGGACGAGCAACTAGCGCATTTCAGTGTCATAAATGGGATTTCCCAAATTGGAAGGCATCAGATTAACTCATTGCGTACCGCGTGCTGCACACGGTGCAGCACGCTGATTTGCCTCCGTGTGGCCGCGTGCTGCACATGGTGCAGCACGGGTTTTTGAAGGGTATTTTCGACATTTTCTCGTGCTCTAATCTAATAGTAATGATAAACTGAATCCGGAGAATAACATACAGACGTGGGACTGCGCAATGAGAAGGAATTCCTGAATTACTGGTATTTGTTGTGAAAAACTCCAGTTGCACTCTCTCAATTTTTTCGCTAAATTGTAGTAAAAGTGAAGGCTAAGCGACAACTTCGAGCATATAAAACAATTAAAGCTACTACGTTTCAATCACTTTCAGCTCTTTTTCCACTTGTTATATTCTTCAAAACTCTTTTTTCAATTCTGTCGCATTTTCGGTTACCCTACTCCCTACATCATGCAATAATAACTAATTCCACTGTACAAAAATAAACATGAAATACTGCAAATGTGTAAGATATATGCGCAGTGCTTATATAATAGGTGTTTGTAATTTAAATGAAAGTTTTATTAGGATCGCGCAGCATGCGGCGGGGGTCTAAATAGGCGCCGGCCACACGCGCCAGCCAGCCAAAAAACGCCGCGGGCATCTATCAGACTCCGATGGTCGACTTATCCGACAGCCTTGGAAGAGGTCGATACCGGACAACCACACGCTAGAAAGCAGGAACTTCGCTGACGATTCCAACAACAGGGTGAGTATGAACACTATTATACATTCACAATGTACTCGTACCGACCAATTGTAGGAAAATATATTCACGCGGAAAAATTTTAGTGCCACACATGACAACATACCAGTAGAAAGCATGCAAAAAAATGCCATGTCATTTGCGTCAACCTAAGACTAACAGGTGATAACAAAGATAGGCTGGCAAAGCGTAGCTCTGACACTTCATTTTGATTTAACCTGCATACTGCGATACTCCAAAAGTTTCCTGCCAAACAAACAGGAGAATCAGAAAAAAGCTCGCAATATTCTAATCAAACTTGGCGTTACAACAAGAGCCACATATTTAGACCGTAAGGTCGGCAAAAAGAGCAAGGTGTTTTTTTGCTACAAGGGAAGGATGGTAGGTCGAAGTGGCCGTTCGAAATGAAATGTATACCACCTGATGCGTCTCCAGACGCTGATTCCAAATCTGCCTTCCAAATCTGCTAAACGGCTCTCCGAACGGAGTTATGAAGCGTAATAGCTCAGTGGTGATGGTCCGGGGTGGCAGGTAAAAGCTCGTAGGATCGGTTCCTTTGCAAGTTTGTTGCTTTGCTTTTGTCCGCAACACTTCTAGAGACAAAAGCAAAGCAACCAATTTGCAAAGGAACCGATCCTACGAGCTTTTACCTGCCACCCCGGACCATCACCACTGAGCTATTACGCTTCATAACTCCGTTCGGAGAGTCGTTTAGCAGATTTGGAAGGCAGATTTGGAATCAGCGTCTGGAGACGCATCAGGAGGTATACATTTCATTTCGAACGGCCACTTCGACCTACCATCCTTCCCTTGTAAGCAGAATGCGAATTACGGATCGTTGGTGCCTAAAGACAGACAGAAACACTTAAAGCAACAATCCAGGAACGAATTCGCGGGTAAGGACCACCTATAATGACGTTGCAGGTGAGAAGTTGGTCAATGGAGAAAGAAAAAGTAGAAAAAAACGTCGGGCAGGGGCTTAGACAGGGACTCCCCGGCCGTTTAGGGAGACGTGTGTGTTGGACGAGTTGTCCGAACCTGCCCGTAGTACATGCGCTCCAGTTGACTGCTGGCAAATAGCCATGCATGCTTGCAAATACATAACTATTTGCCAGCAATCGAAATTGAAGCGCTTCAATTGCGTTCTTATGGAATCGACCTCATACAGCGCGGCGGTCCCGCAACGACCGCTAGTCGAGCAAGCGCTCTGCACAGCGAATGTTGGGCGATCCGCCTCTTTATGGGTGATCCGCCCCCTCCAAGAGGACTTCGACCCCTTCCAGCGCATTTTAGAGGTAGGTTTTGAAATTAAAGACATTTCCTATAAACTTTAGTTGGGCTGGGGCATGTTTTGACCGCCTAATGACCAAGTAGTTGAAACCCTGCCTGGACTGTTGCTTTAACACAACACAAACAGGCGAAGTTTGACCAAGTTTCGGTTAGATCACTACACCAAATCGAAAAACTACGATATATACTACGTGATCGATATATACTCGTATAGCATACATTTATTTGGGGGTTCCGAAGCCCCCCCCCCCCCCCCCCCCCCCCCCCCCCCCCCCCCCCCCCCCCCCCCCCCCCCCCCCCCCCCCCCCCCCCCCCCCCCCCAAAGGTGCGAAGCACATATAAAAAGTTGCAGTTCGCATGGTCTTTAGCATGGCCTTCTAACGCTCGGCTTTTACAAAGGTTAGCGGGTTACGACATCGTTCATGGCTTATTCTCCCTTAGTTTTTCTTTCTTGTAATCTGAAATGTTGCTTGGACGAATTGTTCAAAAAGATGCTTCGACTTGCAGGCTCCGAAGAAGGCGAGTGCGCCGAAACGTTAGCCGGATAAATCGTATATCAATCTCGGAAGCTTGAACAGAAGCAATTACAACGATATAAGGGATATGCATCGAGATAATGCTTGAGACTCAAAAAAAAAACACCTTCGGAACCATCCGAATTTTTTCGTAATGGACTTGCGAAAACCCGCCCTAACTAGGAATAAAATCGACATTCTGCAGCTCTAAGGACGACTGAAACCCGTTTATTTTTTCTGTCTCGAACAACTGACGAACATGAAAATGGCTCATAACCAAGATGATAAAAGCTGGAAAATAAAACCATAAAAATACTCACCTGAATGTCAACGTTATAGCTGAACGCTGGATTTTTGAACACACGGGGAACCTTTAGATTCTCGTAGCTTTTCGGGAGGAGATAGGGTATGTTCGCGTCATCCTTAACAAATATATAATCATATGAAATTATAACTGTACAGCACTTTCCCTTCACCACTGAACAAATTATACCTTGAGTTTTTCCGTCTTAGTTGCGTTCCATCGCTGTATGAAATGTCTGGCAACGTCTCGAGCAGGAACTCCAAATGTGACGGAATGGATGTCGTGCCATGGCATACGAGGTGTGGCACCGCGATCAATGAAATCTAAAAATGTTGTATATCAACCTAGAATACGACGTAGCTTCAATGGTGACCATGGTTAATGCACATCTTTTACAGTGGATGTTTGACCAATAGTATGCTCCCAAGTGAATTCCTTAAAGATTGTTAATTTGGGTCGACGGACTACTTGAACTCGGTCCTTTAAGCTGCCTCACTCGACGCTTTCGTCTGCGCTCTCACCTTATCAGCGGCTCATGACCACTGTGATCTCACACATTCAAACTTTTGCCACACTGTAGTTGGCTCACCCACCTCGGAGTCCCTCCCTCCTTACAAGGCTTAGTCCTAGGCTCTCACCTCCTTCCTTGGGATTTGGAGCCGAGCCAGGCGCCGTTCTCTAATCGTCTGTGCTCTCCGCCATTCGTGGCAGGACCATAGAAGGAAGTTCAGATAGTCCGTAAACCGTTATTTTGAGATCAACAGGTTGATTTTTTGCCAAGCGCATAACACAACATCAAGCAGAAGAAGATCGAGAACTGAAACCGTTCTCAATTTATAGTGAAAGGGGAACTTTTCCAAATTGTTGAGCCCCTCGTGGGCCAGATGAAAATGTTCATTCCCAATTTGAGGCATAGCGATGGATCAGCAGTGATTCAAGGCGAACAGTTTCCTTTTCTTGTCCTGTTTCCAAGCTCTAGTTTTTTAACATATACGCTTAACAACAGCGCTGCAGCACTAGAAAATCGAATGGTCGCCCATGTGTTGAGTACGAGATAGAGCAAATAAAAACGCTCAGGTCAGCCACGGCCAACGCAAAATCACTGCGTCGTTCATCCTTGACCATGCAAACTGCCTAAATAGCTCAAAAACGATTCCTTTTTCAGGCTTCCCAACATTTTTTGGAGACGTTTAGACCCCCCAAGTTTGACCAACAATCTGCTTGATGACTAAAATCTACGGTTAGTGTTAGGATTCCGCTGAGACCTACAGCGAGCAAATCAGAGGTGTCCTGCCTTACTTTCTTTTTCTTACATGTACCACATTTGACGGATGTGGACTCTATGATACTCTTACTCTTCCATGCTGAATCGTTTTAAAGCCACGAGTCAGGATTAGGCGGTCATAGAAGGCCTTTCCATCACTATATGGCCAGGAACTGCGCTCAGAGGGGTGACGCCACACTCCTGACTCGAGATTGCGCGCCGTCAAGGCCTCTGGCCTACTACTTACAGCGATGGGTTCGTTGCATCAGCTGGTCCCGCCCACCGCGGGATGTGGTGCGTGGCTGGCATAACGTGTGAGATCAGCTAGGTTGATTGCCGTATCAACCGATGGAACGGCTGGCATATCCGGAAAACTCGTTTGGACGTGCCTCTTTCCCAAGCCAGCCTCCTTCACTGCTAGTGGGAAAGAGGGTTTGTTTTCGGCCTTGTCGACGGTTTTTTTCGTTTTTTCTCCACTGTCGTTCCACTTCGCATCTCTATACTCAGTTTCAATCGCCATAATACCCCTTATTGAGCCCGACTTTTGCCTTTAACTGCGCTATCCTTTACGCTGCTCTCTAATTTGGCGAGTTGCAACAACAAAGACATGACCTACAAGGCAATTATATGCAAATACATATTGAAGACCTTATAGCGTCGCGGCACGTTTGAATTGCCTTTACAAACTTGCGCTGCACAGCGATGAACTATGAATACGACATAACTCGGTATGGTTGGGAAGGGGTCCGCGAAATAAAAAAAAAACACCAAAACAAAACCTGCTTCAGAGGAACATGACACAGAGAAAAATCTCCTCAAAAAAAGAACAAAATTTCAGAAATTTCGGGGCAAAATGAAAAATTCGAGAGATGTACTCTTTAATAAAAGCCACAGTATCGTACCATGAAAGGGCAAATCCACTTCGATGAAGTCCTTATGAATGTAGTTCACGTAATCCTTTCCCATCCACAACTTCACACCACCATCTATTGAGTCCTTATCTTCGGAATCCATCTGCTTCAGACGTAGGAAATCCAGCTCATATCCAGCTGTTACCTCATCGGAATCTAGTACCTGGGAAAAATTATCATCGATGAAGGTCGAGTTAAGGTTACATCAAACTATTCAGAACAAGCCCACAACAGGGAACCTTCACTTAGCATTAATTCCTTTAGAAAATAAATCAACCTGCTTCCACTTCTTTCTGGCTCGATTGCTCTTCCAATTATCTACCGCTTTGGAAAAACGACTTTCTTTTCTCTTCAACGGTGGGGTCTGAGAGCGATGTTTCTCCTGTAATGAGTGCCAATAGAAACTATTGGGGACCACCATCTCGAATCAAACAAACGATTCGAAAATGAGTCAATGAGTCAAATCAATGACTTTTCCGCGTTACTCTACAATTATGCTTTGCCAAATACATAGCCTAAGCCTATTAACTACAGGCTACACCTTGAATTTCGATACATGTAAAATTAGGAGAGTAGGAAATAATATTTCTACACAGATCACGATTTTTCTTCGTTCCCTACCTTCTGCACTGCCCCACTTTCGACATATTCCTTGTACTTTTCCACTGCTGTTGAGAAATCCAAGCCCATCTTTGTAGCTTTATCGAGTACTGACGGCGGTGGTCCTGCTTTTTCAAGCATGTCCAAAGGAGCGCGTGTTCGAGCAGCAGCCGAGGCAGCTCGACGAACATGCTTAAAATGCTCCAAATAATTGATGATCTGCATAAAACAAATGAGTCAGGGTTAAAATGGAACTAAAGCCATGCACAAAAAATGAGACCGCAACCCACGAAGAGACATTACTACTCACTCGAAGGGAGATGAAAGGGAAATCAAAGTGAGGGTTAGGAAAAATTAGAACCACAGTTAGTTTGTTCTGGTGCAAGCAAACAGCTCATGAACAATTTCAAAACTAGACATTAATTTTCACAAACCTCATCAGCTTTCTGGAAGTACTCACAATAAGTGAAATTTGATCATAGACTTGATTTTGATTTCAAGCTAACTCTTACCTTTTTTCCCTTTGCATCTTCAACAACACTCAGGAAAGTTGGCTTTTTACCAGAAACTGCAGCTAGTCGTGAGGCTGCACTAGGTTGACTTGTAGGCGGACTGAGAACCGAAGGCTCAGGGGTAGGAGTCTTTCGTGGCGAATCCGCCGACACAGAGCGGGTACCTGCAAATCTTCACAATGTTGTGGGAAATCCTACCAAATAGAAAAGAAAAAACAATCCGCAGCTTGAAAGCTAACCTTTTCGACTAACTGTCACCAACACCCCTCCTGTGTCTGCATCGGCGTAGACGACCTGAAGTGCAGCCCATTTTTACTTGAAACTTGCTCTCTCAGTCAGCAAAAACTGCGAAGAGACTAGAACTAATAATCGGAAGGAAATTGGAGAGAAATTCTGATCCGCATAAAAGACTGCAACAGCAGAATTGCTTCGCTATTCCAATAGGAGAATAAAAACGCTACAAATTTTGAAAAAGTTCAACTGAAACGTTAAATTTATATCCAACAACTACAACCATTTTTACATTGTGACTGAACAAAGAACAGAACAACGTTTACCTGCCCGTCTCCAGCAGACTTGTCCAGATCCGACGACTCGCCTTCGTCCACATTACCTATTGCAATTGTTGTCACTTGACGAGGTTCTTTCAATTTTCCTATTTTCAAAGTAATTCACTAAAGCTAAATGCAGGATTTTCAAAATAAAGGTAGTGTTCACGACAACGCCTCACATGTTATATTATCCACAGGAAGCAAAAAGCACAGTAATGACTGGTAATTTTTCCAGAAAGTATACACAAGGCGACAAATGGGACAAAAGCAAAGCAACTTAAAGTCACGAGTCGGGATCGAGTTAGTGTGTTATTTTGTCCGGAAATTAGGCAAGAAGTGCAATGAGGAACACTAGTGAGGAGAAAAAGCAAAAAGCACCGTAGAAAACACTAAAGTTACTCTTGCGAGGCTGCCGTGGTATGACGGTGAGACACAACGCTGCGAAGAGAGGGGAAACGCAAGAAAGTAATCGCAGGCAAGGTGGCGCAAACACCACATATGCTGCGACTGAGACCGATGTCAGACTTTGCGAATCGCGCGATTCGCAAAGTCTGACATCGGCCTGATAAGGATTGCAGCGCGGCGGCGCGCAAGGGAACGCCTTGGGACCTTTGCCCCGCAATTTGAAGCCGCTGCAGTGTCGCACTTACTTCGCTTAGGAGAACCCTTTTTCTCATTGTAGGAGGGACTGGCTCACGGGACCTAGTCCCATCTGGTGGTTTTGAGTGAATGATAGGGTCAATAATTTGAAAAATAAACTGCATGTGGGACTTCCTTGTCTAATTCTCTATTTAAAAATGGCTTGTAATTTAATTGCTTATCACTTGCCAGTATGTGGTCAAATCAAAGATCTATCCCTGCTCAGCTAAACTAAATCTTCCAACTCTGATTTGAACTAGACGGTGCCAGAATCACCTAGAACTGACTAACAAATAGGCCCGCAAGTATTTGTCACCGCAAATATTTGTATAGGCCAATTCACGTTCAAATGGTACCACGACTGTGGAAATGGAATGTATGGGGCATCCCAGAAAAGAATGATCACAATGAATTCACTCAGTCATGGGGAAAGGAAAGCAAAATGTTTATGCGTCAGAACACCTCCGGAAGCTTGAGTAGTTGCGAATTGTAGGAGATTACTTCAATATCACAAGATATGAGTTACAACCTGCGGTACAGGTAAGGTTAGTCATCACACCGTGGCGAGCCCTACTCCTACGCTATGGCGGACCCCTCCCCATTACCTATAGTGGGGTGCTGTGAGGGGCTGCCGATTTTGAGCCTTAATATGAATGTGGAGGAGATGGGTGGTCAATGAAGCGGAAAGCATAGCGAGCGGAACGAAAAGTTCTGCCATGCCAGCCACATGACCATTGTCGTATGCAAGCATTGATTTTAAGGCGTGAGTTGTGAAGCGTTCATCGTAAAGTTAGAGCCTGAATGTGCCTCAACACAAGGAAGGTCACAGGTAAGCTTGACTACTCCTGTTGAAGTAAATATAGCATTCATCCTAAGATGCTGAAGCGCAGAACTGGTTTCCATATCTACTGAACGACTCCTTGTTAGTTTGATGCTTTCCCGCGTTGTCTTGATGCTGTCCCATAATGTGTCCTTATGAACGACAAAGTGAGAAAAAGTTTTGGGGCGCAAAAGTGCGACTGGCAGCATGTAGTTTGATCATATGATGAAGAAGTTGTGGGATAGATTTCCTAACACGTTGACGACAGGCTGACGCGCATGCGCGTCAGAAATTTGGCACCGCATCGGACATTCTGACGCGCATGCGCGTCAGAACTATGTCATTCATTTTTATCGTGCTTGCGCTCCTCCTTCTATGAGTTGATTTAGCAAAGATTTTCTATAACTTACAGATTTTTCAGTTCAATTCTTTCTAGTTTTCCTTTCACTGTCGTAAACATTCATATGAGAAGAAGTTAATACAAAACTCTGTGAGTTTCAAGATATTTGTATTTGATGGAAGAACTTAGGTATAAATGCTTTTAACTTCATTCGCAGCGAAAGTGATGTTTTTGCTTCTTCGTGGTCATTATGCGTTCTTCTAAACAAAAATCTACTGCTATTTATATAGTTAACCTTTATGCTTTCATCCTTGCCGAAATAATTCCTATGAGATTCAAGTTGTTGTGCATTTTAAACAAAAAATAAGCGGAAGTAAGGTGAGGACGGCGCGCAAAATCGCTCCTGTCCCACGCGGTGCAAAATGCCAAAACACGCGATGTCGCCAATGTGTTAAAGAGTAATGCTCTACTCTTTTCGGCAGTATAGTTAGCATGACTGTTTACAACGTTTATTCATCAGCGCTTACATCTGGTCCACTTGAAGGATAATTCCACAATGAGGCCGATTGCTTGAATAAGAGTAAATATACCTCACTTAAGGGTAGGCGAGGTCCCTATGGAGCCTTACGATAAGCATTCCGCAAAGAACGCTCTGCTCCTGGCGGCCTAGGTGGCGTAACTGCGTCGCTCGTGCC